TATATATATATATATATATATATATTATATATATATATACACACACACAACACACACCTATCATCCTACTTACGACCAAGTTCGGTTCCGAGAAACCGGTCGTAAGTCGAACTTTAATACTGAATATCAACAAAACATTTTTATACTGTATTATTTTGGTATTTCATGTTTTACTTTACTTTTTATGTTGTTAGTACTGTATTTTATACTGTAAGGTTTAGGATCAACACTGTGTACAACACAAATAGTTGTTTATTTCCCAGAAATTTGGCATAAAAAAAACAGTCCTAAGTCGAGTGGTCATAAGTCGAGTGGTCGTAAGTCGAGCAGGTCGTAAGTCGGATGGTATTTGTGTGGTGTGTGGTGTGTGTGTGTGTGTTGTGTGTGTGTGTGTGTGTGTGTGTGTGTGTGTGTGTGTGGTGTGTGTGTGTGTGTGTGTGTGTGTGTGTGTGTGTGTGTGTGTGTATATATATATATATATATATATATATATATATATATATATATATATATATATATATATATATGGATCAAAGTAGAATGACATGGAAAGCGTATAAATTTGTGGGGGAAGGAAGGCGGGGTAGGGGTCGTCCTCGAAAAGGTTGGAGGGAGGGTGTAAAGGTGGTTTTGTGGGCAAGGGGCTTAGACTTCCAGCAAGCGTGCGTGAGCGTGTTAGATAGGAGTGAATGGAGACGAATGTTATTTGGAACTTGACGAGCTGTTGTAGTGTGAGCAGGGTAATATTTAGTGAAGGGATTCAGGGAAGCCGGTTATTTTTATATAGCCGGACTCGAGTCCTGGAAATGGGAAGTACAATGCCTGCACTCTAAAGGAGCGGTTCGGGATATTGGCAGTTTAGAGGGATATGTTGTGTATATATGGGGAGAGGTACTACCACTAAAATTTTACTGGGGACCCTCATCCTCAGAGAAGACAATAAATGTATCTCAGGGAAAACTCTCAAGGTTCTCCCCAGAACTGTTTGAATATTTTCTTCTACCATCCCCTATATATTTATGCTACATGCTAACTTTATTAACAGACAGAGCACATTGACAAAAAACACAAACATGAATACACTGGTACAATATTTCAAAAGTTATGAATCTCCTCCAGCTCCTCCGAAGCTGGACACGAGCCCAGTATGCAGCATGCATTTCCCCCTCTGTATGGCCACGCTGAGGCGCTGGAACATGAAAGTGGCTGCTCTTGGGTCCCTGGTGGTGTTGAGTCTGGAACCCAGTTCTTTAAGGAAACGTGTGGCATTTTTTCCCCATGATTCCAAGGTCTCTGATCCCACTGGGACAAATTGATACTGTTCGCTTATGTCCCTGTACTTGCCGATCTTGTACTTCTCCTTGTGGTCAGCAGCTCCTTGTTGCCTGACACTGTGATGGATATAGGTGTCAGCCAGTGTGGACACACAGGTATAGTCCCATGCTAAGAGCTTGCCGTTCTTCCAAGGGTAGATGGTGATCCCACTGCGACGGTTTGCCGAGTTGTGGGTATTGTTGGCTGCTAGTGATCGGGGTTCCCTCTCGGTTGGGCATCCAGCTGTAGCAAGGGTTATTCTTTATGATATCATTGAAATCATTGTCTTGCATCCCAGCCCTTGGTTTTGGAATGGTTAAGACCATGTAGACCACACTGGTTGGCTTGCGCATCGCCACAAGTACACGTATATTTCGTGTGAATTGGGGCAGCAAGGTGCAGAGCCATTGCAATACAGAGGGTCTTAGGGTCGAGGTGCGTTCCCATTGCCAATGGGAACTGTTTGGAGGAGTTAGGTGCACTGCAGCTTGGAGACAGGCAGTCTCCCTGTCTAATGTACAGACCTGAGCATGTTGGCAGGCACCTTTTCAGTGATGGGGCCATCCCAGCTTAACTGTTTGTAGGCCAGTGCTGCATTAGGGTTTGGTGATGGAGCAGCAAGAGAGTATGGAAGAAGTGAATGTTTACAGATATTTGGGAGTTAACTTGTCAGTGGATGGGTTAATGAAGGATGAAGTTAACCATAGAATTAATGAAGGAAAAAAGGCGAGTGGTGTGTTGAGGTATCTGTGGAGACAAAAAAATGTTATCCATGGAAGCAAAGAAGGGAAAGTACAAAAGTATAGTGGTACCAACACTCTTATATGGGTGTGAAGCTTGGGTAAGTAAGTAAGTAAGTGGGGTGCAAATGCTGCAGCAAGGAGGTGGCTGGAGGCAGTGGAGATGTCCTAAGGGCAATGCAGAGAATTCAGAGTGTGGAAATTAGGAGATGTGGAAATTAGGAGGAGGTGTGGAGTTAATAAAAGTATTAGTCAGAGGGCTGAGGTGGGGTTGTTGAGGTGGTTTGGTCATTTAGAGAGAATGGATCAAAGTAGAATGACATGGAGAATGTATATATCTGTAGGGGAAGGAAGGCGGGGTAGGGATTGTCCTTGAAAAAGTTGGAGGATTGGGGTAAAGGCGGTTTTGTGGGCGAGGGGCTTGGACTTCCAGCAAACGTGAGTGAGAGTGTTACATAGGAGTGAATGGAGACTTAATCGTTTTTGGGACCTGACAAGCTGTTGGAGTGTGAGCAGGGCAATATTTAGTGAAGGGATCCAGGGAAACCGGTTGTTTTTTATAGTCGGACTTGAGTACTGGAAATGGGAAGTACAAAGACTACACTTTAAAGGAGGGATTTGGGATATTGGCAGTTTGGAGGGATATATTATATATCTTTAAATATGCTTCTAAACTGTTACATCTGGGTGCCTCTGCAAAGACAGTGATTATGTATGAGTGAGGTGAAAGTGTTGAATTATGATGAAAGTATTTTCTTTCTAGGGATTTAATTTTATATATATATATATATATATATATATATATATATATATATATATATATATATATATATATATATATATATATATATATACACACACACACACACACACACACAACACACACACAAACATACATACATACATACACACATACAGTGGTACCTCAGTATACATCCTTAATCCATTCCGGGGCTATGGACTTATCCCAAACAGGACGTAAACCAAATGAATTTTCCCATAGGAAATATAGGGAAAACGATTAATCCATTCCCATGAAAAAATCCTACTGTTATTGGCATATTATACATTGATGGGGTTGTATAAAATAATTTATATACTACTAAAATGTGTAATTTAAACACTAGTAATACTAAAATACATACATAAATACAAAAGAACTAGATAAAATAAATGCAAATTTAACCTCACTTTACTTTGCTGAAAAGAGTCGAATGCCTACTAGGATAGTGCTGAGAACGGAGGAAGAGGAAATGTTATAGTTTGGAAGAAGAGTCCCCCTTCTCTTTTCAGTCTTTTTTTCCCTATTTGGACCTGGTTGAAGCTCACCAACTTTGACTTTTACTAAAAATCTGTCCAAAGAACTTTGCTTCTGCCTTCTCCTCAGGATGTTTAGGAAATGTGACATTGTCTGGTCATTCCAGACTATGCTATTATGGCGTGTTTGGGCTTTGTTGGTGTGGTACTTCTCTGCAAAGTTTTTCACATCCATCCATTTGGCATTAAATCATTCATATGCTTCAATTATGTTTCCCTTCAAGATAATGGAATTTGGCTTTCTTGCTTGTTCTCTATGAGGTTTGTAATGTCTGTCATTCTCAGATGCATACTGTACTTTGAAAATTTATGACCATTCAATTTCACAGTGTTCTGAACTTTACTGCAAAATCAAAAGTTTTACAAAGACAAAATAAAATTGTATAACATTTTTCATTTTATAACAGCACTGTACTGATAGTTCTGGATATACATCCTGTTTCTATATATAATTTTTAATTTTACATTTCTGCATGGTTTTCTTAGCTTCAGATTCCCACTAACCATCATCCACAGCTTATTTTAAGTAACATTTATAAATGTTTCTATTTAGCTTTTAACCATACCATGAACATTTGTAGCTTCAATCCACATTAAAAGTGTTCAAGATTATTATTTAAAATCATGGCATTTTCTATAATATAGCTGCAGCATATGCATAAAAAGTACTCTATAAACACAAAAGTGACGAATTATGATTTAACCAAGGATAATCCCCCCCCCCCCCCCAAAAAAATACTATTAGTTTAGTCTTACTTCCATTAGGGTCTCTAAGCCCAGTCCTAATATACTGTCATTAGTAAATTTACTATCAATACACCTCATTCTTCTATTGAGATCATTTACATACAGTACATAGTTAACAATAAAAATCCAGAACTACTCCATGTGGTCAAATGAAACTGTTCACCACTTAGATTTTACTTTATTTATATTTTATTTATATATTTTTGTTTGGTAACCATGCCCTAATGTGATTTAAGATGCTTCCTAAATGCCTCTACTTTGCTTATCAGTCTTCAGAGTAAATAAAATAAGTAAGTAAAATAAAGACATCAGACACCTTGCACTCAATTACATTTTTTTACAAGCTGATGTCCAACTACAAAAAAAAATACTGTAAAAAACTGTGTATATATATACATTACCTATAATTTCATTATTTTTCTTGAAATATAGTAAGAGACAGACACATTTTAAAACATTTCAGATTTAAGCTCCACATGTCACCTGTCAAACTTTGCACCTACCCCTTCAACAGACATTAGTTTACAACCAAAAAAACCCAGCATTTTTCTATTAATAGCCGATCTATTTAAATACATCATATGGGGCATATCGTGAACCAAATTTATTTTATCCATTAAAACCCCCGAGGCCCTTCTGTCTACATAGTAAACATAAGTTTTCCTAAACTCACGATGAATACTGTACCAGCAACACGTCAGAAAACTTAATTTATTATTTATTTCATATCAAAATGTAAGCATATAACTAGTGTTAGTCAGGCCACTGTCTTCCCCTCCTCCGACACAGCAGACAATATTTCTGGAGGCCTTTACTGGGGCTACAAGTTGAGGCGCAGAGAGGTTGTCAAACGTTATAATCCTCTGTAGCTTAACAGCTTACCGTTGTCTGTGTCTTCTAATGAACTTTGAAGCTCGCCTATGTTGGGAAGAGTTAACCCTAGCTTCTCTCCAAATTTGTCGATAAAGGAACATACTACAGCAAAATCTGCGTGACTTGTACACAAGTCTTCATCATTGGACGCCATTTTCACATTGACGTCAATAAATACCACAAAAACAAATCCGTGATGCCAGCGTCTACATACAGACAACTGAGCATCGTCTCCCAGACTCTCTCCTCTATATTCTACCTTTGAATTTAACTTTACTTGTAACAGACTCGGATTCTATAGATAATGTTTTAACCTTTTACTTATAAGGCTTCATCGGCGTCTATTTGTTTTCCACGACCAATCTTTCCGAGGTTAAACGGAACATCAATACTATCTTTATTTACGCTTTTCCATAAGTTCACACTGTCGTGATTCTTCTCTGTAAATGTTTATGAATGACAAGACTTGCATCCTAAGCTTCATACTGAAGAAATCACGCAAGCATTTTGATGTTCTTTGTATTTACTACTAGCGTAGGTATGCTGCAAGAATGCAGCCAACTTCTACTACTACTACATTTTTGGCTCGAGTAACTTTTATAAGTACTTTATCTCTGGTAAAAATAAACGAACAAATACAAGAATTAGTCTAAATCAAGTAATTTGCGCATTGACCTCAGGTTTTTTTTTTTCTTCAGCAAAAAACTATACCGCATTGTGTGGCCACCCTCATCTTTAATGACATATTAGAAGGTTAAACCAAAAATGTAACTATGATGTCCTAAAACCATCAATGAGTTGTGACCATATATTGGTCTCGCTGCAGTTACAGGAAGTTCAACCTTGCATAATATTTCCAGCAGGTCTGGGGTTTCTTGTATAAAAGTACGTAGACTACTTTACCATCTTACAGGATGATGTAACTTATTTCTTAAAAATTATTATAAAACAAACAAAAAAAAAGAACATGTCCACCCAGGTATGAGGGCACAACTTGGCAATGTCACTTACTTACTAGCGTAATGTTAAAAAATGTTAGTGAAAGTTGGGTAGACCTCGCCAGTTGGTTGCACTTGTTTATTAATGATAATTTTGAAATCTCTGTCAATACCACGACAATTTTACATTATGTATAAATCAAATTTAGATTTAATGGTGACTAGTAACTCAGTGATAGAGCCTTCAGCTTACACCCAAAAAGACCAAAGTTCATTCATAGCCGAGGTGAGATGAATATGCCACAAAATGCACTATATAATCAATGGCTTTCTAATAAGATTACAGTTCTAGCCATTTTTTTTTTTGTAACTATATATATTTCGAAAAAAAAATAATAGGCAAGTCATCGTCGTGTTCTTCAGGCTATGTACAGTTTACTCAGAGGTTTTTTCTGATGATTGACTGAGTTGTTTGTCCTCACTGTTACTGCAGTGATGTCTGTTGTCACTCAACTATTTGTGGTTGCAGGGGTCAAGTTGCAGCTCTTGGTCGCTTGCTGAAATCGCTGTCTCGGGTTTTCTCTCGCTTAGGCTTAGAATTTAGTTATACTGTTCATATTTAGATACTGCCCAGTCTTTTGGTTAGTTAATGCTTTAACTATTTTCTGGTTCATGAGTATTGGGAAGATTTCCATTTCCGAAATGTTTAGTTGTGTACGGGATTTTAAGAACAGCAAATACGTATCTGACGATGGCTTTCACACCATAATCTCAAAAATAATGGAATAAACTGCTGTATTACAGTATTTCCGGGAACATGGCATGTCTCCTTACGCCTGCTGTCCTTGTTAATTGTATAATAAATAGGTAATTGTAGCCACACAAGGTAAATAGTAGCGAGTTTAGTTTAATATGTTTATTATGCACCCCATACCCATCCTGTGGGCGGTAGTCAAAAGATTACAGAGGTACATAATTGGTCCAGGGACTGGACTCCAAAGTTTTGAAAGACAAATGCAACATATTAAAAACACTTTACTCACCAGGAACTTCCTGAATCCAATACAAACATATCCAAATTAGAAAATACATAAAAGTACGTAAGGGAAGGAAGGTCAGATGCGGATAAAGGTCCGATGTGAAGTCAGGTGTATTATGATGTGTCAGGTCACCTGACGGCAGCGTCCTGCAAAATTAACTTTCCCAGAACTTTTGATATGCTCAAGCTTCCGGTGTTTTGCACAACTGTATTGCTAAGACATATTACGATAGATTTTTAGGCACTCTGTGAGTTAATCAGACTCAGTGCCAGATGAAAGAGAAGGGGCTTCCGTAGGGGGGGGGGAGAGGCTATTACCATATTTATTGAGAGACACTATATTCGAAGGGATCATGCAGAGCCTGGAGAATGGAAGATATTCAGATTCCATCCAAGGTAGGGGAGGGGAACCCTACAAGAGCATTAAGAGCTCCCTCCCCGTCCATTGATGGAACAAAGACCCCCCATACAAGAGAAAGTCACCATATAAGAGGGAACTAGGGCCTAAACATATTGCAGTAAACAAGAAGAAACAGCTGCTTTTCTTTTCGAATAGGTTCTTGTCATATGTAGGGAAACATATTTAAAATTGGCTAACACGTTATATAATAACATCATAATGTAATTAGACAATGAAGTTTTAGTGACAACAAGTGTTTTGCATTGCGGCTCCCACAACTTGAGTCAGCTGGTGGGGTCTGGGTGCCGAGTAACATATGATAAACTGAGGAAAAGGACAAATGTACAAGCACTTAAGACATTTAAATAGGAAACGTTTTGGTAGTATGACCTTATTTCGTTCGGATTTTTAACCCCGGAGGGTTAGCCATCCAGGATAACCCAAGAAAGTCAGTGCGTCATCGAGGACTGTCTTAACTTATTTCCATTGGGGTCCTCAATCTTGTCCCCCAGGATGCGACCCACACCAGTCGACTAACACCCAGGTACCTATTTGCTGTTAGGTGAACAGAACAACATGTGTAAGGAAACGTGTCCAAATGTTTCCACCCGCCGGGAATCGAACCCGGGCCCTCCGTGTGTGAAGCGGGAGCACAGACAAGGGTCAACTCGTCTTTGGCTGCCTTGAAACCAGAAGCAAATTATTTATTTTTGAATAGGGATTTTTTTTCCAAAAGAGCATCATCTTGTTGGCATTGGGACCAGTGCTTTCCTTCATCCATGATCTAGATTTTTTTGTATTCACAAAAATGTTCTGGAATGAGTTTCGGGGATCAACGCCCCCGTGGCCTGGCCTCATGGTGGATAAGGGTCTGATCAACCAGGCTGTTACTGCTGGCCGCATGTAAACCGATGTACGAACCAGCCCGGCAGATCAGGTACTGACTTTAGGTGTCTTTTCCAGCGCTTTTTTGAAGAAAGACAGGGGTCTATTGGTAATCCCACTTATGTATGCTGGGAGGGAGTTGAACAGTCTTGGGCCTCTGATACTTAGTCTCTTAGTGCCCCTGCTTTTCATTGGGGAAAGTTGCATCTTTGCTTTCGTAGGGAGTGATTTCATGTGTAGGTTTGGTACTAATCCCTCTAGGATTTTCAAAGTGTATATTATGTATCTTTCTCGTCTGCATTCCATATGGGTCATTCAGTGCTGAATGATCTTAAGTTGAAACTTTTGCACTTGCCAATTCTCACTCTACCATCATTTGAACTGGTGTGTCTGTGTCTCTTTAAATTCTTCAATCCACTCTTGAGCTAAAAGCATGACCACTGTTCTTTTAAGTTGTAATACAACAGCAGGGGATTGTATATGTAATAAATGGCCCCTCCAAGGCAATTTCCTCTTTTAAAGCATTATCTTGGTCCCCACAGTCAGGCATATTTAATATGCTCATAACCCTCTTAGAGCTTAGTGGGGCTGCTGTTTGCATCACAAGCTGTTAAACCATAATGCCTTCAGACAACTAAAGCTGCCCCACTATGAGGCATTTTTGCTTCACTTTATCCCTGTGCTTAGGAACCACAATATAGTGCTTTAGTAATATCCAAATAACATTAACAAGTGCAGGGTGGAGAAAGTGTTTGGGAGCTCGGAACTGAAATATTGTACAGAAGAACCCAACATATAGGGCTCTGGTGGCCTGGTGGTTAACGCTCTCACTTCACACGGTGAGGGCCTGGGTTCGATTCCCAGCCAGAGTAGAAACATTGGACATGTTTCTTTCCACCTGTTGTCTATGTTCCCCATCAGTAAAATGGGTACCTGGGTGTTAGTCGACTGGTGTGGGTCGCATCCTGGGACACTGACCTAAGGAGGCCTGGTCACAGACCGGGCCGCGGGGGCATTGACCCCCGGAACTCTCTCCAGATAAACTCCAGATTTAGCCACCAGGCTAGAGCTTCATTTAAGGAGGTTATTAATAGAGTATTCAAGAGGTTGCTAGTAGAATTACAGTAAAACAACCATTCAAATCATTATGAAGCTCTGTGTAGTCTGCAGTCAATCAAACAAACGGGCTTCCACATGGATTTAAAATTTTCATTTTTGTGGAAAATTTGGTGTCACGCCCCCTTTTGCAGATATCCAAGAACTAGCTACAAGCAGTATTAAACAGGGAAGTGTTTTTGGGTATGCCCCAAAAGGGGATAAATCTGTGGACCCAAAAACACAAGGGTATTAAAAGAGGATAACATCAAAGCTGCTTTCATAGAAAACTGGAAGCTTTTTACAACAGATGGGAACATAAAAAGTCTGGGGTGAATGGTACTGCCCTTGATACTGGCCATGTAGTCAGAAACTGTAAGGCTGGAGGTGATGTCCTGGTAGTCAGTAAATGTGGGGCTGATAGTTTCTGTCTGGGGGACAGTAATGGTTTAAGCTGGAGGTGCTGTTCTGAGAGACAGTAATGGTGAAGCTGGAGGGCGTCCTGGGAGCAGTAATGGTGAAGCTGGAGGTGCTGTCCTGGGAGACAGTAATGTGAAGCTGGAGATTTTGTCCAGTAGCGGGAATTATACGCAAAGGAATACATAAAATGACCTCATAGGGGACGGACCCAATTGGGGAAAAACAAGTGTAGTGAAAGATAAAAAAAAACCAATATTGCAAAATAGAAATACCCGGAAATAGAAACAAAGGATTCCACTAGCAATAGTGAGGGTTTTTACCAAAAACAATGGTGGGGAGCTCCATTGTTGGTGTAGGGAGGATGAATAAAAACAGGGAAACATGCACCAACAGGGGGGAAACAGTACA